ATTTAAAAACAAATAAATAAACACTAAGCTGAAATGTAGTTTCCGAGAGGACAGTAAGAGGGATGAAACTATAAAGACCATTGGTAGTAAAAATCGTTAAAATAGGCAATCTGAAGGAAGAGAGGAAAAGTAAGTCCACGGCGATTGGTTGTAAAAAGGAAGGGACATAAAAGTGTCAGCCCACCACTATATCGTGGCTTGGACAATGCGCACGCACACTAACACAAAAGTAAGACAAACACATCTGGATCAATGAATACTTCGCTTGTTTACATGCTGGTGGATTGTGTTTAGAGTTATGCGGCTCTGTCTGAATCTACCGTGTGAACTGTCCCTGCTTGTACGATTTGTTGAAGTCAGACCTGCGCAACATACGGCCCGCCAGCACCCACTTAGCGACCCGCGAAGAAACAAAATATTCTTTATTAATATTATTTTCTTAGTGGCTTTTCCCCCTGCCCCATTATCTTTCGGCCCGCATATGTTTTCGATTAAGTATTACGGCCCGGCGTACATTTTCAGTTGTGCAGGCCCGGTTTGAGTGTAGAGTCTGAAAGATTGTGTTGCACGTTAATATGTATATGTTGCTCTGTCTCATCAGCCCCTGTCCTGCCGAGTGGACATTCTGTGTGCCTAAATATGTCCTTGTACTTGTATGGTCTTGATGAGGCTGGTACCACGTTGTATATGAATCTATATGTTATTTCTTTGTCTTTATTTTGTATTTCTTTAATGTGTATATTTCTAAATTAAATGTATTCTTAGTGTTTATTGTTCCATAGGTATGTGTCCATTTGATCCTATTGTAGAGTGGTGTTGCTTGCTCTTTATTGAATGTATGTGAACTGTCTTTGGTTGTTGTGTGTAGAAGTGTTTCATTGCCTTTGAATGCTTAAATACACGTGGGAAATTCTGACTGTTGTCTCCCTATGTAATGTGGTGTGCTGTTGTCAATTTTTATCAACTGTCCTAACCTTAACCCTATGTAAAAATGTGTAAATATATTTTCATCCTTCTTTCTAATGGCGTGTCAAATAAATTTAATTTCTAAGTGCCTGTAGTTTTGTTTGATGTCTTGTAAATGAATTCCCACGTCTAATTTAGATTAATGTTGTATTTGTAATGTTGTGCATTGTTCCTTGAAATATGTCATTCCTGATGTGTAAGTTGATTTGTTTTAAAATTGTATGTGGAGGCCCCCATATGATCCCTTTGTAAAAAAATTGTGTGCGCTGTGTATTTGTGTCAGTCAGTTACCATTTGATCAAGTTCTGTGTATTTGTGTCAGTCAGTTACCATTTGATCGAGTTCTGTGTATTTGTGTCTGTCAGTTTCCATTTGATCGAGTTCTGTGTATTTGTGTCTGTCAGGTACCATTTGATCGAATTCTGTGTATTTGTGTCAGTCAGTTACCATTTGATCAAGTTCTGTGTATTTGTGTCAGTCAGTTACCATTTGATCGAGTTCTGTGTATTTGTGTCAGTCAGTTACCATTTGATCGAGTTATGTGTATTTGTGTCAGTCAGTTACCATTTGATCAAGTTCTGTGTATTTGTGTCAGTCAGTTACCATTTGATCGAGTTCTGTGTATTTGTGTCAGTCAGTTACCATTTGATCGAGTTCTGTGTATTTGTGTCAGTCAGTTTCCATTTGATCGAGTTCTGTGTATTTGTGTCAGTCAGTTACCATTTGATCGAATTTTGTGTATCTGTGTCAGTCAGTAACCGTTTGATCGAGTTCTGTGTATTTATGTCTGTCAGTTGCTATTTATTGATCATATTCTCATTATTGTCCAAAGACAGAAACCAAGCACAAAGTAGTGCGTTCGTACAAAAATGTTTAAACGTCTCTGGTCTTTGTAAGAATATTTATGTTTGTGCTGAAAATGAATATATTCAATTTAATTTGAAAAGATGTTTTTCCATTTCTTTGCATCTGTAAAAGATTCTTACCTTATCTTAACTTAATATCTTTCATATCTTATGTCATTTACTTAATTTATCTTATAATAATAATTTGCACATTTATTAGGGTACTATCTCCCTTTTCCTTCAGTGGCGCATTTAATTTTGTAGCATTAATTGTGTACACGTTGGATATTATTCTGGCCTCTATATGGAATCGACGAAATTTAAAATATTACATAAACCCACCCTCAAACAGCTGATTAAATAAAAAAATTGATGCCTTAGTTTTAAACATCTTAAAATTGTTCAATCACTGTTGCAAAGTATTTACTGCTTAACTCCCTTAGTTCATTGGGTTTTTTTTTTTTTTCTTTTAAAAAGGCTTTTACAAATAAAATAAACATTATATTATTGCAATTTTTAAACATAACCTATCATTTATTTACAAATATATACTTAGCTTTACTCAAATATAACCACAATTACTGTTTTATTATAATTATTAATAGAGCCAATTGTCACCTAAATATCGGTTTTAAGGCTATAAAATTACTCCACAATGTTTCGCGGTTATCGCTGTACTAATGCTTTGTCCTTTCATAAATAACTGGCAAGTTATCGCTGTATTAATATTTATCCTATTACCAACACACTAGTCTTTCCGGGCTCGGGCTAGAGACTTAATTATTTGGTTCGACGACCAGCCTCCCTCAGCCCCACTGCTGGTTGGGGGGAAGGGATTATTTTTTAAAATTGTTGTTCTGACGGGTCTCGGCGGAGAATCGCAAAAGACATATAAAAATCATAAATTGGACGCCAAAATCATACAAGTAAACAGGTCTGCAGTAGACCTACTACATAATTATTATACGAATCCGTGATACATGCACATAGGCGCCTACCTGTTATTTAGTCAATAACAATGTTTATGAAAATGATATTCATGCATTTCAGGACATGAATCAACTGAAAAGCCTAATTTTCCCTAATTTGTTAATTTTTAAAAAAATAAAACAAAAAGGGATTTTTAAGGGACAATTTATTAAAATAAAGTTGGTTCGATATCCAGCCTAAAATATTCACTGCTGTAAAATATGAAAGATTAAGTTCTCTTTTCTTATGTGAGCCATGTAAATAAAATTACAGTTAACGGCTATCTAGACGAAACTTGTGACAGATGCACTTTAAAATAATACTGGAAGGTTTTGAACTCATAATATTCATAACTGCTTCAGTTTTCTTATAAACGCTATATCTCTTACATTTTCCAACTGATTTTAATGGGACAACTACTTTAACCAAAAAATTCCTGGTTATTCATCTGATGAATTATTTAGGGTTCCTATCTTGGCGATAATTAAAACGTCACATTATAGAAGGATTCCCTGCCGGGGTTCCTTCTTTTAACTTTAATGGAAAACTATAGAGTTACGTCATTTTGTTTGAACTTTTTTAGTCTCGAGGTTTCTTTACAAATTATTTGAAATTTTAGAAGAAAAAAAAAAAAGGGAATACTTTCCTCCAAGTTCTATATTTGCCACGTAAGTATCAAGTATCAAGTATACAGATGATGAAAATGTTAATGGGATCTTAAAGTTGATCGAAATTTTAGTTGATATTTATAGACTTCTTTACTTCTCGCTGGAAATTCCCCAGTATCGGTTAATATATTTTTATACTTGTTTCTTATGTTTATATAAGTGTCTACGGTTGTCCTCAAATGTTATGAAATAAGATCTAAATATATTCTTTAAAGTTTCTAGACCATTCCAATTGAGTGTATTAGGCTCTTAAATTTCAAAGCTATACAAGCTGTATTTTGTCAAAATCCAACGGGGATCGCTGAGTGGTCCATGGGTGCCGGAGACGGTAAAGGTTTGAGAGAAGGATAGTGGGGAGATGCTTCCGGTTGGGGCGTAGCGCTAAGACAGGAGTCTCCAACTCAAATCACCCGGGGGCCGCAGGAGGTAGAGTCTGAGTGAGACTGGGCCGCATAAAGTATTCTACACAAAAAAAGCGATTACAAAGTCAATGAAGTACAACTGTTACAATATGCTGAACCTTTATTTTTAAAAAAATAATAAAAACGAGGTTGAAAGAAAATAGGGATGGTAGGAGACAGATGGTTTGAGGTTGCGGTTTTTGCAGATGGACTGTTGAGTTGTAAGGCATGGATGGGCTCGGCTTAGAGGCAGTAGTGAATGAAATAATATTTTGGGGATAAATAAGAAATGCTGTCATGATTATAGCAAACGAGCTTTACATAATGGCAACATATCAGAAGACACGAAACGTGTGTGCCATCAATATAAAAACATTAAAGATGACTCGAAACTTCCAATTAACTATTAACCGCCCACACCTGACAATTTTCCCTACCGTCCGTCGTTAGCTGTTTCCAATTATGGTCTAATTACTCAATTTAAATGGAGATACTATGCACAGAAATTTACACTTTTAGTAAAATCAAATAACAAAAGCAGCCCCCCCCTCCCCTTTTTTTTACCAGCGCAGATAAACACTGGACTGGTATATTCGCTAAAATAAGTAGACCTATAATATGTGCCCGGTCCCTACTTACTATAATAATGATAATAATTAGTGGTCAGACTAGGACTTGGCTCACCGCGCCATTTAGCCTAATCAGGCTGTGTGTTTTTCGCATTTTTATTTGTTAAACCGCAAACTTAAGCAATTTAGTATTTTAAACAACAAAGAAAGCTTTTAAGACCTTCGATATGATCTCATTATAGGCCACAAATGAGTCCCTTGTAATACCCTTCGTTACTTGCCGATACATAGGCTTTAACTATGCCCGCTGGAATACGAAGTTATTTCTAGCAAGAAAGTAGTGCATCAGTGGAATTCATGCGCTGTTTTTCTTTTGCAGTTATGGCTAGCCTACTACACGCGTGTCAATGTTGACACTTCGTGATTAATGATGAAACATAAGCGTTAATAAAAACACCCGACAACAACTATTCCACCCATATAAAGTTAATTAATAAAAATATAGGAAATGTGCGATCTAGAAGTCTCCCTGTTAACCATTTTTTGAGTAACTATTTTATGTTAACTGTGTGCTTGCAGAATATCGGTAAAAAAGTGTGTCAAAACTTGTAAACCTTATCAACTTTACTGTGAACAACTACCGAGAATACTAATGTTTTTAATTGTCTTTTTCACTACTGTTGTCAGTTGTGCTTTGAAGCTATTAGTGCCAGTCTTTTAAAAGTTGCCCAAAGGTAAGAAAATAGAAAGACAAACAGGGAACAATGTCAATTATTTCATTTCGATGGCCGTACGCCAAAAGTGGAATGCGTGCCCAATGTGACACGCCAGCGAAAATTTTCTGACACGTGAAGATCAGGGCTTAATTTTTTTTTAAAAGAAGATACATCAACACTTTGAAATCAAATATATTTCAAGAATCACCAAAGTAATATCTTAAGTTTAAGAACAAGGTTGTTTTAACGTTTATTTGTGTTTTAAAGCGTTTATCATTTTAGCATTATTTATATTATATTTGTTTTATTAAAATAAATTTATTACATTAATACTTTATTAATAGTAATTATTAACAGTAACTTTGCTTGCCTGATTGGCATTGTCTCATTAAATAATTGAATAAAGGCTAACAAATAGTATTAGCAAGAGTTCTTTCAACTGATTCAACTAATAGGCCTACTTATTGCCTGGAACTAATAACTTTTGCAGGCTTTTCATTGCAAAATTCTATCTTTCATCTTAAAATTAAAATGTTATCACCCAATTTTACATTTATTCCATTTTACTCAAACTTAAAAAAAAACAAAAAAACTAACGAAAATTATTCTAACATTAACATTAACTTGAAATATTAAGCTATAGCTCGCACTATATAAGATATTTGTAAAAAATATTTGAGAGTGATTTTAAATTAATTGAAAAGGTTTCCCCAATGCTTAAACAACAGAAAGAAAGTAATAATATTTAAAAGTAAAAGTTCCCCCTTTTGTTTGTGTGGCATGAGAGAATATTCTTCTAGAAAATTTTGTCATTTGAAAGTTTGCCCTCATGTGGGCTTTGCCCCAGCCAAGCAAATATAATTAAATATGGCAAGAAACATATCATCACTTGCTGACAGCAAAGTATGTCCATGTTTCTTTGATTCGCATAAAAAAGTAGTTATCAATAAGCAAATACAATCAATAAAATCACATACCAGGTACCTGTATTCATTTGATGTAATTGTGGACTTATTATTTTAAATAATTATATCTCACTGCATGAAAATTTCATTGTTTAAATCAAAGATTAAATTATTAAAAATAAAGATTTCATTTCTTTAATATTTCAGCCTTGTCATGGCTGAACCACAAATAAAGAAATCGAGATTGAGTGATCATGGAAGTGGAAGAAGCTTTCAAGAGGTCTGGACTGAGAAGTATGGTGTTGTTGAAAGCAACGGCAAAGCATTGTGTCTATTGTGCCATGTAACAGTAGTAAGCAGAACATGGAATGTGAAAAGACATTTTGAAACAAATCATCGATGGCTTTTGGAAAAAAATGAAGAAGAGAGGAAGGAATACATTTTTCATCAGCTGCAAGAAAAAAAGCATGAACCAAATATTTTCCTGAAATTCTTAAAAGTTCCTACAAATTTAACTTCAGCAAGTTTTTGTATTGCTCATTCCATAGCTCAGCATGGGAAGGCTCTCAATGAAGGAGAATTTATTAAAGAAACTCTACTGAAATGTGCACCTCTTCTATTTCAAGATATGATAAATAAAGACGCTATCATTCAACGTATTTCTGATTTACCAGTCAGCAGAAATACCATTAAAGACAATATGATGACAATGATCTTTGATGTACAACAACAACTAATAGGAGACTTAAATCAATGTCAGTTTTTTTCCATTTGTCTTGACGAAACCGCTGATATCACCTCATCAGCTCGATTGGCTGTCATTACCAGATTTTATAATGGTCAGACTATGAGAGAGGAGCTAGTAAAACTAGAAAAAATGCCAATAAGTACATCAGGGTATGAAATATGCAACGTTGTAATAAAAATATTCAATGACCTAGGCATTGATATTTCCAAGGTTGTGTCTGTGCTGACAAATGGAGCACCCAATATGGCAGGAAACAATGGAGGATTTGTGAAATTATTTATGGAATCTATTGGACACCCAGTTGTGCCCTTTCATTGTAATATTCATCAGGAAGTGCTATGTGCCAATTTAGGGGTGAATGAACTACAAGATGTGCTGACAACCGTAACAAAAATAGTCAATTTAATAGCCTCCAGGCCTTTTCAGAAACAAGAATTTGTTGTACTATTGCAAGAGGTTGAATTAACATACAGTGGGCGTCTAATGCACAACAATTTAAGGTGGCTAAGTAGAGGAAAGGTTCTTGAAATATTTGTGCACTGCTATGAAGAAATTAAGTCATTCATTGAGAATAAAAATATTGAACAGTTTCCTCAGCTCAGTGATGTTGAATGGGCCAGCAACCTTATGTTCTTTACAGACCTCTCGGTTCATATGAATGAGCTGAATTTAAAGTTACAAGGTTTTGGTAAAAGTATTGACATTACATTAGGTTATGTAAAAGCTTTTGAAACTAAACTTCAGATATTCAAACGAGATGTGGAGACTAAAACCTATAAATATTTCCCTCGACTCAAGAAGTATTTTGATGAGGTAAATTCAGGTGGGCAAAATGAAATGGAGCCCTTGCTTGTGAAATACCTGCACATTTTAAACTCAATAATTGATCAGTTTGGTGAAAGATTCAATAAATTTAGAAGCTTGGAACAGACATTCAAAATAATTAAATATCCTGATGTAGTTGTTTACACTGCTATGGACCTTGATGATTTTCAATGGCTGCCAATTGAAGAATTAGAACTGCAGTTGGCAGAGTTCCAGTCCAGCAATTGGACAACAGTCTTTGTTGACTTGAGGTCTCAACTTGAAGATTTGGAAAGGAATTGCCAGCTGAATGAAGAGAGCTACTCTGAACAAGAAATTTTGAATGCATGGAGCAGAATCCCAGACAGTTTTAGTGCCCTGAAAGTCTTAGCAATGGCTTTACTCACAATTTTTCATTCTACTTATTCTTGTGAGACCTTATTCTCAGCTTTAAACAACATCAGAGTGGACAATAGAAGTAGAAACTTGCTGACTGAGGACCTCAGTGATGCATGCATGGGCTTGAGGTGTACCAAATATATACCTTCCATTTCAGAGTTAACAATCAAATCTCAGGAATAAAATGAAAAATTATGATGATCCAAATGTCATGCAAACTTGTTCTCCTTCTAGTTTAGTTCAAATTCCAAACTCTATTACATTACATTACAATTTTAAAATTAACTAAGATGCATTTTTAGTGCAATATTTTAATTTCAAACTATCAGTATGTTTACCTTTATACAGCTTCTTATAATCTAACTATAGTATAAACCTTTGAAATAACATTGTTACTGTATATTTAGTACATGATCCTAACCTATCCTTTTGTTTTACGAAAGATAAGTACTAACATATTGTACTGCATGGTTCTGTCTGTTTTAAGTCAGTATTACCAGAATATTTTAGTAAATATTAAAATAGTACTTCTTTTCCTGTAGGCCTATGTCCTAGAATGTTGATGATGGTGTTGTCATTCATTGGATAGTGATTACCTGTGATCTATTTGAGGTGCTAAAATCAAAATTCAAACTAATTTCAATGATCTATCAACTGTGTAATCATATAAAAATTGCCAAAGTATGATGAATAAAGCAATCTTAAATTAATGTTAGCCTCCATAATTATATATTTATCTATATTAAAATGTATATACCTACTTTAATTGTATTTTAGCCTATCTTTTGTTTGATTACAAAAGTTTAATTGAACATCAAGTAAATGCTACTGGTTATCAAATTGGGTGGTAAAACACTCAACAGATTTAGGGATGGTGGGGTGGGACCATGCACCTAAAGAAGGGTGTGTGGTATGGGGTCTTATCCCAGAAAAGATTTGTGAAAATCTAAATGATAAAATAATTGAAAAAACAAAAAGATGAAAACATATTTTTATTTTAGTTCATTGAAAACAGACATTTTAACTTCAATTTCTTTGCAAGGCGAAATGAGCATAACCCTTGCCTTAGTCCTTGGTAAATGCTCTTTAATAGAGGAGCCGCGACCATATTAATTATCACTTATTCACTGGATGCCACGGACGTATGAAGAGGGGGCTGTTCACCTTCTGTGATGTTTACTGTCATGGGGCGTCAAGTTGGCAACATAAGAACCTTTGTTGATAGCGGTATGGGGGAAATCGACTGCCAGGGCTGGAGCCTCCCTTTTGTAATAGCAGACACATATTCGAATGGGCGTTCAGTAGCTGCACCGTACATCCCAGGGCAGGACCGCACCTTGGTGCGTCCATCTTCTGACTAAAGATGTGTAAGGTGTGTCCCGGTGAATTCCCGACGGAACACTAGCAATGTGTGCCAAGTCATTAAACCTTTTCACATATCAAACCCTTTCCTTGGATCACCTCAACCTCAGGATGTTCTGACAGCCCCTCCCACCGAAACAATATCAGGGGATATCCTCATATCACTTAGTCCTTGGGCCGTTGGGCGCCACAGATGACATGTGAGCCATCCTCCTACATTCCTCTCTGTCTTCAGCACTACGCACTGTATCGCCAAGAGTTAGTCCTGTCCACTCTTTGATGTTATCCTCCCATCTTTTTCTTTGTCTTCCTCTTCTTCTCCCTCCTCTTGTGTTGCCCTGCAATATTTCTTTGGCAAGCCCTTGTTTCCTTGTTACGTGGCCGTACCATTGTAGTTTGCGTTTTTTCAGTCACCAGTAGGTCATTGTACTCCCCAATTGCCTGACGAATCCTTTCTTTCTTCACTGTATCATTGGAGATATGGTCCCTATAGCAGATGCCAAAAATGCTTCTGGAGCATATCATCTCCATCGCCTTTATTTTCCTTTCAAAATCGGCTGTTAGTGTCCAGGATTCGCAGGCATACAGGAAAATGGAGAGGACTAATGAGCGCATCAGCCTGATTTTGGTGCTGGGGGCTATATTTTTGTCATTCCATATTTTCTTGAGCTTCTTTAGTGCTGTTGTAGTCTGCGCAATCCTGGACATCTATCTTCTACGTTCAATATCGCATATGGAAAGGAAATGTGTTTGAAAGAAATTTCGTCGACGTAAGTTTGGTCGAACGGAAGTTTGGCCGAATGCAACTTTGTTCGAATGAAAGTTTTGTCGAATGGAAAATTGTCAGAATTATTTTTTTTTTTTCTGACAGCAGTTATTGACAAGTTTGTTGGAAAGGTATATTTTTCAAACGATATTAATATTTAGTTCGATTCTTCTTTTTGTTTAAAATACATGTGTATGCTGTTAAGTCAAAGACCTGCGTGTGGGAAACAGCTCGAACGGATGCGTATTGGAATTTTGTTTATTTTTAAACTGAAAAATACAAATCAGTAGTCAGTACTTAGAACTTATACAAGTATTGATAAATGAAGGTATTAATATAAACACTCTAAAAGACACCGCTAAAAAATGTGTGTGTTCAAACAAGTTCATCTATTGTTGCGATGCTTTTCTGGATTGAAATAGCCAGAATGTCGGAAAAGCAATCTGACGCTACAATTTAATGATCGCGGAAACTTCATTAATGTAACTGCTTAGGTATCCATGTCGAATCGTAACTGCTAGGCTTAGGGGTCCAGTTCAATTGTAACTGCTATTAGGGGCCGTCCATAAATTACGTAACGCTATTTTTGACCATTTTAACCCCCTCCCTCCCCCTGTCACCGCTTAAGGACGTCACACTTTCGAACAATTTAAAAAAAAAAAAAAATTAAATCCTAATTAAAATTTAATCTAAAACACAATTCATTATTAAACTGTATTAAAATATAAAATTTCCACTTAAAGAACTATCACATTATTAAAATTACTTTAATAGTAGATTAGTTAATTGTCAAAAGTTGTCACAGTTATTAAGCAGTAACTCAATCTAGATTGAATTTGAAAACAAAAATTGCAAAAATTAGACTAGACAATTATATAATACTAATACACATCATTTATCTGCTGCTTTTTCATTTACAAAAGGTGAGGTCAAGTTTTAGATAATTTCCGATTATGCAATCTTTTCTTATTCTTCTTCTATATCTTAAGGGAGCACGATCAATTTATTGATCATTTTGGCTCCTATGCATGTAGATGGGATTTGCAATGTTTCTGTTCCTGGTGTTGATGAATAAATTTCACAGATTTTTTTTACACAGGATAACAAGTAAATTAGCGAAACTTGACCTCACCCAGTGATTAAATAATTAAAAGGAAATAAAAACAATTTTGCTTAAAAAAAAGACTAGATTGACAAATTATGTGATACACTCTTGTGCTATATTGAATTTGTTTATTATGGGCCTGTGAATTATGTTTAATTAAAAAAATATTCACTGGACATCATCCATCCTTGGTGAAGCGAAGTGTCATCCATAGTCTCGACTGGCATCAATCTTTCACCACCATCGTTTCCTGGAACGATAATTGCAGACAGATCAACTTCATCCTCATCTAGCCACTCAACATCCTCTGAATGTGCATTTTCTCTTCTGGCAATAACTGCCATGAGTTCTCTTTGCCTTCTAGCAGCGATTCTCAAAGGACTGATGCGTTTTATCTGAGTTGATTCTGGAAGAGTTTGGGTTGGCACATTCTCCCTAGTCCGAGCTCTGTGTTGTCCTGCATGTTTCTTCGACATTGTTTGTGAGGCAAAGTATAAGGCACATACTTTGCAAATTCGATCAAGTAAGTTGGTCTGCAAAGATGGACAATACAAATCATATAGTTGTACTTTGAAAACGACTGTTGATGTCGGCAAGGCTATACGGTACATAAAACAAGGCTTCGCAACAGCATACTAAACGCTCCTAGCGAGAGGAATCGTGATCGACACATTCAGGAGATACGCATTTCATGCTATTTTGACACAAAACTAATTCAAAGGTTTCATAAAATTTTCGAAAATTATTTTTAAAGCTATAATATTAAATTCAACTAAAAATAAAAAAAATAAATTAGAAATAAAATTTAAAAAAAATAAAATTAATTTGTGACGTCACACATGGCCTGATCCCCCCTCCCCCCGTCACAAACTGTCACACTTTCTTACACCCCCCCCCCTCTGGAGCGTGACGTACTTTATGGACGGCCCCTTAGTGCTATAACTAAACAAAACAAAGAACACAATCATACATCTGATAGCTTAAAAACTGAAGTAAATATAATAATGAAAAGGATTAAACGTGATGCTGTAACTCAGTGTTTCCTTCAGACACCCCCCCCCCC